ATGTAAACTACACATCATATTTCAAAGGCTTAATAACGACAAAAAAGTAAGATGTCTCACTGACCGTTTTGAAAGAGCAAATCAGTGAGGAAACCTGAAACTAGTATAATTTTCTATCCCCACTGTACTTGCATCAGAACACACACAAATATTGGTGGCGTGTTGAAATAATATTTGGCGTATATTGGCTTAAATAAGATGGTTTAAGGAGTAATCTCCCCTGTTTATCTCTACTCCTTTCACCTGGCTACTGGCAAACTTGACGTAACACATGTGGCTTGTGCTGCCTCTGCTGGACGGTGCCGCTGGCTATTACTGTTCAGTGGATAAAGACGGTGCAGTGGGTGTTACTGTGTCCACCATCCCGTTGCAGGAACGGGACTCAGAGAGGGTTAGAGATTGTCTAAGGGCACACAGCTTGGAGGTGGTGGAGTCAGGGTTTGACGCCAGGGGCTGTCCTCCAGGTCTGCCCTAGGGCTCCTCTGCTGCAGCGACTGTCTCAGGAAGCCCTCCAAGGCGCATACTGGCCTGCACCGCCCCACCCCAAAGCCCACCCAGCCTTCCAGCACCCTGCCGGAAACCCTGATGTATGTGGTCACTTGCATCATCAGTCTGTCCTCGGATACTGCTGGCACTTGCCCAGGTCTCTCTCCGTCACCCCTTCCCTGCTCAGATCCCTCAGCACTTCAAGCTCCAATGGCACCTTCTCTGAGCCAGCCGCACCCTGTCTCATCCTGTCCTTCCTGCACGCCTGCCAGACTCCTTCTATCCCGCCCCACCCTCTGCTCCAGGGAGAGCAGCTGCTCTTGCCGGTGGCTTGTTGGACTTCTGTGCTTCTCCGACTTCCCCAGGTGCTTTACAAGGCAATCCCAGAAGCAGCCTGGCTTGCTGCCGTGCTACCAGGCTGACCGTGGGCAGGGCTCCAGCTCCAGCTCTCCCATCAATGCCTCTGTGACCCTAGGTAAGTCACTTCTCTCTGAGCCTCAGTTTCCTCATCTGTAAAACGGAAGTAATACCACCAATGGATTCTTATGAACATTAAATGATGCAAGGGATGCAAAGAACCCTGTTAACTACCCAGCGAAATACAAACATGGGGAATAATTACGGCACTCGCCATGAGTACTTACCTACCAGATGCTCTGCTAAGCATTCCCATGCTGTGGTGGTTTTTAAATATGTCCCCCAATTCTTTGGTCATCCTGCCTATAGGAGGTGGGGCCTGATTTTCCCCCCTGAAGGGTGGTCTGGACTTAATGACTTGCTTCTAGACTAATAGAATAAAGCAGAAATGATGATGTTGACTTTGAAGAGTAGGTCATAAAAGGTACTGTGGCTGCCTCCTCTTGCCTGGACCACTCATATGGGGGAAGTTAGCTGCTATGTCTTGAGGACACTGGGCGTATATTGTGATGGCCAGGTGGTGAGGGATGCAGTCCTCCTGCAAGAAGCTGGCGAGGAACTGGGGCCCCCACCAGAGCCGTGGGAGGAAGCCACGTGGTGTGGATCCCCCATCCCTGGCCAAGTGTTTGTGTGATGTAGCCCCTGATGACGTTCGGACTACAACCTGGTGAGAAGCCCAGAGCCCGAGCACCCAGCGCCTATGCCCCTGAATCCCTGCCCCAGAGAAATTGCGAAACAGTAACTGCTGGTTGTTCTAAGCTGTGAAGTTTGGGGGATAATTTGTTATTCAGTAATAGATAATGAAAATACACATTTAATCTTATTTAACTGTCATAACACAATGATGTTGGTATTGGTATTATCCCCATTTTACAGATGAGAACACTGAGGCTCAGAGAGGAGGAGACACTTGCCTCTGGCCACTGAGTGAGAACCTGGTGGACTGAAGACCTCAGCGCTCGTCCATCTGAATTAAAAGCTGGTGCATATGGGGCCAACCGGACGCATGCCTCCCAAAGGTGCGTGATGGCTGGACACAGGCCAGTCTGGCCTGCACTGTGAGCGGATGTCCTCCCCAAAACAGGGACTGTGATATACCTCTTGGCCTGATTCCCATGCTCTGCATCCAGTAGATGCTCATTAAATACACATCCGAACGAGAGCCGAGGCGTTCAGGTCACGCAGGGCCCCGGGCAGGTCCCTCAGCCAAACCCATCCAAACATCGGCGGCAACATACGAGTAGAGTTTCCAGGGGCCACAGACCTAAACATTTAAAAAGCATAAATCAGACTAATCAGCAGTGGAGGAGTGAGGACAAAGATACGCTCATTATAACAAAATAGCAAATACATGTAAAGCTGTGACTGAACGTTAGCAGAGGGTCAAAGATGACCGAATCCCACTGTCTCTGCATGTGCCCGGTTGTCTCTGGTTGAGCCGATGATGTTTGAATGAGAGATAAAAGAAAAACATGCGTGACTCGTAAATCACTATACCGTTATTCTACCAGTTTTGTTTTTCTTGCCTTCATTTCAGCAAAATCAGTAATTGTGGTGTTATAATCAAGGCTTTCCCATAATTGCCATTCCGTTGAGAGCAATGTGAAATGAGACCACCTTTCTCCAATCATTGTATTTCTTAGATAGTTTTTAATTAATTTCAATTGGGAAACACTTGCTCTGTTGAGGATGCCATGCCGCAAGACACTGTCAATACTGCTCTGAAAGGAATCAATTTAGAGGAGGAAATGAGCCATGGATTTCACACAGCAAGCGTCCGTGTTGTTATGGGGGTGGTGCGTGATAAATCACGCTTATCGTGCAAAATATTACACACTGTTTAACTCTCCCCATAAGTCCTAGCACGGACACCTTGATGCCTCTCAGAGTGACATCGGATCCAGCACTCACGTGTCTGGTGTCGCACTTGAAGCAAGTCACATCTGGGCCGTCATGTACACAAAGGTAAGAGTGCTGTGAACTATGTAACATCGCGGATGCTCCTCGGCCACCCTCTGCCACTCTCACGGGCCCGCGCCCTTTCGGGTACCTCGAACCACAAGTGGGAACGTGCAGAGAAGCAAGGCCACCAAGGCTTGGCGCTGCTGCAGGCTCACTGCTCTGGGCTCGCTAAGAGGAAGGATTTAACAAGTAAGTTAATTTGTCTCTTCTCTTACAGGAGAGCAAAGGGTTTTCTTACACGGTTCAGAGCCTCTCTGTGTTCCAAACCTGCGTCCATCTGCAATGTCGGCCGCCATGCAGCCCGCATGCCCTGGTGGCTCGGGAACCAGTCGTCCTTCGTGTGGAGGACGCAGAGCAGGAGATGAGCAGCAGCGTCTCCCTCCCCCTCCCTGGGGCCTGAACGGTGTCCGTCAGGACAGCGGATGGTGATGGCGGTGGCGTGTGCTTTGCCAGGTGACCGAGACTCCATACGTTCCTTATTAAAGAGTTTGCATTGCCCTGGCTGGTGTAGCTCAGTGGATTGAGCGCCGGCCTGAGAACCAGAGGATCGTGGTTTGATTCCCAGTCAGAGCACATGCCTGGGTTGCAGGCCAGTTCCTGACAGGGGATGCATGAGAGGCAACCACCCATTGATGTTTCTCTCCCTCTCGCCTTCCCTTCCCCTCTAAAGATAAATAAATAAAATCTTAAAAAGAAAAAGAGTTTGCGTTTGTGACATGTGGGTCTCTGCACTCCTCACGTGTAGTCTGGTGGGATGTGGCTGGTGCATGAGCTGTGCAGAAACTGAGTGTTTAAAAACTTTCCTAGTGCACCCTGGCTGGGTGGCTGAGTTGTCAGAGCGTTGTCCTGATATGCCAAGGTTGCGGGTTCAATCCCCAGTCAGGGCACGTACAAGAATCAACCAACGAATGTCTCAGTAAACAGAGCAACAAACTGATGTCTCTTTCTTTATCTCCCTTTTTCTCTCTAAAACAGATAAATTAATTAATGATTTAACAAATAATAAAAACTTTCATAGCAAAGGAGCATTGCTGCTACATCCAAGCTCATTTTTTTCTGGTAATTCATCTTTTTATAATTATTTTATAAAATGTCCCAAGACAAATAGAATACCTTTCATTTCCTGTGCAATTTTCCTACCAATGTTGATGAAGCGTTGACTGTCATTTCAAAGCAGTATTTTATACATTTTTATATAATTATGATTACAAAAGGATCGGTCTGTAGCAAATTGGATATTTACGAAGCAAAACAGTCCTTTGCAATATAGTTTGAGAAACACTGCTCCCGAAGTTCAAGGCCTAGGACAGGCCCCCTCTTGCCCAGGAAGGTCGAAAGGCACTTGTGCTCCACTTTGCTGGCCCTGCAGAGTCTGTGACCGTAAAAAGGGGTGACCGAGCAGCAGTGCTCTGAGGCTTTGCAGGCCAGTCACCCCAAGATGCTCCGATCGTTGGAACTCCCCAAGTCAGGACTGGCTCTCTGGGGGGGCAGCCCCCCTCCTATCCCTCCCAGTGGGCCCTGCGCCAAGTCCCATCTCACACGCTGAGGACTCTTTTGTCTTCCTGACACCTGGTTTCCTGCCCCTGCAGGCACCGAAGGGCCTTCTCCTGGGTGACACACGCAGGCAACTTCCACCGCTGACGTCCTGGCCAAAGGTCCATGGCATTTGCCCATCAAACTGCCGCTGCTCTCCGGCTGACGTCAATGAGGACACGACTGGAGTGGGATCCCACCTTCTAGAATTTCAGAGCTAAGAGGGCTTGATTCTGGATTTCCTTCTCTTACTTCACAAGTAATACACAGTCACCGCAGAACCACCCAGAAAGACAATATGCTCATGTATTTTTAAAAATAGCCCGTAATCCCAACACCCAGTGATAACTACCTTTAATATTTTGGTAAATACACCACCTGTTTTCTTACATACATTTTAAGCAATAACAACATTAATAAAAGTATCCTGCTTGAACACGTTTTTTCCATTCAGTAATTTTTCTACTTCTGTAAATGCACTGCGACATCATCAGTGTGGGCAGTTCCAGATTATTCCATGGTGCGTGTTTGGCAATGGACAAGACCAAGGTCCACTTATTCTCTCTCTCTCGTTTCCTTGCTATTATAAACAACATTTCCTGTAGTCAAATTTTCCCATGATTTCCTTAGACCGAAATCCCAGAAGTGGAGTTTCTAGGCCAGAGGACATACACACCATGTTTAAAAGACCTTGACTACAGGGCCTGACAGTGCCGATGCCGCCCTCACGGGTACCGAGTGCCCGTTTCAGCTCATGCCGGCCAACACTGGCTATTATTACTTTTTGCCTCGCTGTTTTTGTTTTCTTATCCTCACCGGAGGACATTTTTTTCCTCGCTTTTAGAAAGAGGGAAAGGGGTAGGGTGGGAGGGGGAGAGAGGGAGGGAGAGAGAGAGAAAGAGAGAGAGAGAAACATCAATGAGAGAAAGATTGATTGGTTGCCTTCTCATACATGCCCTGACTAGGGACTGAACCAGCAACCCAGGCGCGTGTCCTGACCAGGACATTTTGGTGGATGACGCTCCAACCAACAGTGTCACACTGGCCAGGGCTCACCGTTGTTTCAGTTTACATTTCTTTGTAGGATATTGGGCGTGTCTTCCTTCCGCTCACCTGCCAATCATGTTAAAACAGATTTTTGAGCTTCTCCATCTGAGGCAGAATAGCCTGAGGCTAGGTAATTCCTGGGCAAGTGAAATGGGGAAACTGAGACAAAATAACTAAACAAGGTGGAACAATTTGACCGATTCACAGCCAGCTAGTGAATCACAAGACCTTATCGTCCTTCACCAAGGACCCTTGAGAACAAGTGGTTTAAACCTCTCCTCCCTAACCAGAGAACAAATAGCCTAAATAACTCTGGTCAGAGAGCTAGAGGACAAGGAGGACCCAGTTAATGCCACTGGTGCCAGCCAAACCCAAGGACTGATGAAGCAGAGGAACGAATGACAAAAACCCAGTTAGAGCCAGGCAGGCCCAGGATGAAAGTAAAACAGCAAAGCTGACCAAAGAATAACCCCAAACTCTCCTGCATGCTCACTTTGATGCGTCAGCATATTACAAACGCACTTGGAAAGCTGATGACTATTCTGCTGAAACCCTTCCCCAGATGCCAGGCTGGGCTGTCTCGGGAGCACGCCCATGCCCCTCCTGGGGCATGCAGCTTGACTTCCTCTCTCCTAAACCCCAAGGGTCCCAGGAGACTTGCAACCAGAGGAGCAAAGGGCTGCAGCAGCTCCCCCTCTGATCCTGTCTCCAAGGCAGACCTGCTCTGGGCCCAGTCCCCTTCCAGGACACATCCCGTTGTGAAAATAGGCTCAGAGACAAGGAGCTTCTTTCCCAAGTGAGGCAGGGACAGGCCAGAATAGGAGCCAGGTTTTCTGAGGTCAGGTGTGGAGGTGTCCGCATGATTCTGGGGCCCCTGCAGTTGACAGAGGGAGTCACAGGGGATGAATCAGGAATGGAAAACGCCCCTCCCGGGTTCCACGTCACCGGGTGACATTAGATGGGCAGTTCCTCCCGCGCAAGCCTTGGTGTCTCACCTGTCAGATGAAGAGGCTGGATGAGTCCGTCGCTCCGGTCTCTCTCAGCACGAACATTCGGGCTGTCCTGCCACTTCCCAGTTCCTTCCCAGTGCTGACAGTTCCAATCAAAACCTTGCATGTGCTCAGCGCTTTCTGGTTTACAAAGCACTTCTGGGAAGTAGAGAGGAGAGGCGTTGTCATTGGTGCCATCTCCCAGACAGGCAAGCGGAGGCCTCGACCTGTGTGAACCTCCGCAACTCCAGGCAAATCCCCGACCATCCTCTCAAACATTCTAACGAGACAGCTGCCTGGAAGGCCCTCCCGTATGAAAGCTCTGGGGCCATCAGTGTCTATCCCCCTGGCGAGGGCTATTTTTTCAGCTACAAAATTTGCTGAACACCCACTCCTCGCCAGGCTCTGTGCCAGGGGTGGGGGATGCAGGGCTGAGCACGGAGCTTGCAGTCTGGTGGGGAGACACAAAAAAACAGACCATTTCAACAGTGGGTGATAGGCACTTGGAAAGAGGGCAGTGTGAGAGTGGTGGGAGCAAGGGGCACGGCATCAGGCCAGATAAGAGGAATCAGGGCAGGCTTCCTGGAGGAAGTGGCACCCGACTCTCATCTTGAGGGATTAAATGATAGCCAGCTGAAGAGGACAAAGGGGTTTTATAGGGCAGAGGAAATGGCCTGGGCAGAGATCTGGAGACAAAAAGAAAGAAAAAGGGGAATGGCACCTTCAGAGCAGTTTAAAAGAGGCCATGGGGCTGGGATGCAATCCAACATATGAAGAAAATGTAGACATATTTATTTATTAGTTCATTTCCAAATAACAGCAATAAACTCCTTTTTTTAAATGAAAGATAGCTGTATTTTCCAAAATAAAAGTATTTCGTGGGGGAGTGGAATTGTTTTACATTTTTTTGCTGATCTCCTTTTTATGTCTGGCTGATTAGCACAAACAAATTTTGTCCTTGCGAGGTCCTGAGGATCTCCAGAGCACACGCTGAAGAGGGGGAACTGGCTAAGGGATCCTGGAAGGGGAGGAGGGGCTCCTGCCTCCCACGGCCTCCTGGGAGTGGGGTGAGGGAGGTGGAACCTGGGGCAGGGGTTTGGCCGCAGGACTGGGAAGCAGGCCCAGGGCGCCAGCGTAGGTCTCGGACTGCTGGCTGCCGAGCCAGGGCTCTGGTCGAGGAGCAGGTTTGGGAAAGAGGATAATCATGTTTAGAACGTGCCGGGTTTAAAGTGCCTGTGGACCCCCATGCAAAGCGCCCAGAGACCGGCGCCTGGGCCCTGAGGAGGTAAACTGGACTGAGCTAGGATGGGGTGCACTTGCCACTGTAGTGAGACCATCAGGGGGATGGTAAGGGGTGTGTGGCCTGGATGCTGCATGCCAGCCTGGCAGGGGGAGGACCTGAGGGTCTGTCCCCTCCCAGACTTGCTGAGCAAGCACCGAGTAATCCGTGCCAACTCCCAGAAGGAGTTGTGCTCAACCCAGAGGGGGCTATGGGGGGAGCTGGGGCTGGAGGCCCAGGATCTGGGTGAGAGTTCTGGGAGTGAATGAGGTGCCCAGCTAGGCATGGGGGAAGTCAAGGGAATAGCATGTCCAGAGGTTTCAGCGAAAAGGGGCCAGAGGGGGTTCTCTTATCTTTGCACCCCTGCCGTGTTCTGAAAATGTGGACACCTTGCCAGGTGCTGGGTTGGGTGGCCACTGCCGGCCCTTGCAGCATCCAGCTGGAGGCCCGACCTCAGCCCTCTGCTCTCACACTGTTTTGTGAGGTCTCCTGTGGTTGATTAGGGCTGTAAAAGTGCCAATTCAAGGCTGCCCTGGGCCTTCTCAGGCAACTGGATGAGCTCTGCTCATGTTCAACCCCACGCCAGCGTGGCTGGAGCCGGGCCCTCAATGATGTCATGGGTCACCCACCTCTTGTCTCTATGTTCCTCTCCAAGGGCTCTGTTCCTAAGCATTCTCTCCCCACGTGCTGGCATGATGGCTTCCTGCATAGCAAATCCCATAAAGAGAGGGCTCTCCTTCCTCAGTATTTGCCCACAGAATTCCTGGGTGGACTCTCATTGGCCTGACGTGAGTCACATGCCCATTTCTGAACCAACCACCGGGGCCGGAGGAGAATGGGCTATGCAATTGGCCTGGCCCGGGACACGTTCCCACTCTCGAAGCCGGAGGTGGGCTGGGTGGGGGCAGCAGTATCAGCAGCCTCCCCAAATTGCATAGACAGCAAGTGAGGACAGGAAGTCCCCAAAGGAAAACCAGGAGGCTGTCATCAGGGGAAAGGGCGGGCCCTTAGGTACCGTAGGTCACAGCCCTTCCCTCCAGGCCCATATCCTCAGGGCTGAGGGCTTTCCCTGCCTGGAAGTAACAACCGCCAGCCCCCACCCTCTCTTACGTGTAGTATGGAGCAGGGGAACTCACCCCAACAGCACTCAACACCAGTCAGGCTTGGCTCCCCACCCCCCAGCTGTGTGACTTTGAGTGAATCATTTTTCCTCCATGAGCCTCAGTTTCCTTCTCTGTAAAATGGAGTGAGCGTCAATAAGAAGAGGAGAGGACACAGAGAAGAGGCCACGTGAAGACGGAGGCAGGGGTCAGAGAGACGTTGCCACCAGCCAAGAAATGTCCGGAGCCGCTGGAAGCCGGAAGAAGCGAACCCTTCAGCACGGCCCTGCCGCATTCGGACTTCAGACTCCTGGCCTCCAGAACTGCGAGACCATAAATTTCTGTTGTGTTAAGTCAGCCAGTTTGTGGTATTTGTTGCAGCAGCAAATATACCAACGGAAATGGTTTTATTGATATGTGTTTATTCTCTGTCCTTCTCCCCAAGGGATCACGGCCACGAGGCCAGGCACCATCTGTTTTGGTCACTGCTGTGTCCTTAATGTCTGGAACAGTGCCTGTGGCATAGTAGATGCTCATGGAATATTTGGTCCCTGGAAGAAGGAGCACATGCGCGGACCTCTCGGCCCAGCGTGCCTGCAGGGCCTTCTCGGACGGTCCTCCTCGGCCTGCGGTTCCAGCCAGGCCTTCCGCAGGCCCGTCCACCCCACTCGTCAGCCCTCTGGATTTTGACAAATTGCTCTGGTGACAGAGCATGTTCCCACCTCCTCTTACTCTTAGAGACACACACTCTCCCTACAGAGGCAGCACAGCCAGGTGGTGACAAACTTAGAGTGGTGACCCAGACCTGGTTTCAATTCTGGCCCTGGTGTGTCTGTCCCATGGCATCGCTCAGAGAAGTCCCACGTTTCTTAGTTTTCTCCTATGAAAAATGGCAATAGGGTCCCCATCTTTCAGTGCCTGAGACACAGCAGGCTCTCAATAAAAGGTGGCTGACGTCAACTTTCCTCAAACATCCTATTTTCCCCCAGGGGCTTGTCCGTACCCCTTCCTCCTACAGGAAGCCCTCCCAGACCACCCGTGCCCCGGCCCTGCTCGCCTCAGCCCAGACCCAGTGAAGGGCTCCCTTGCTGCGTGGCACAGTCTGCCTGGGATCATTAATCCCCTTCTGTGCAGCCGTGGCCCACCTCCCGTCTGCCTCAGCCGTTGGCCATGTTTTAATGAGGATTTCCCTTTGTGAATAAAGAAGCAGGCCTTTGATCCCCCTCCTGGAACTGGCCGTCTTTGATTGTCGGCACCGAGTAACTGCTGAGAGCCAGGCCAGGATTCGAGTCTGGGCACCGCTGCTGCTCGCTGCCGGACCCCTGGCAGGTGGTCTCTCCTCTCCCAGCCTCAGTTTCCCTTCAGTGTAAAGAGTCCATGCAGAGCATTTACATTCTGTTGTATGTAAAATAGCCAGTCCGTGAACTCAGCTACATGTCACCTCAGCCCCAGTTTCTTTTATACCATTTCCTCCTTAGATTCCAACTGCAACTCAGCGACTGTCCCCAGCTCACTGATGAGGACCCATGAGGCCAGGAGACGCAAAGTTGCTTGTGCAAGGTATGAGTCAGAGGTGGGATCTGAACCCTGGTTGCCTGGCTCCTGGTTTCGCTTATTCTCTTGACCGTCAAGACCAAGGTTAACTGGGAATACTCCAGTCAGCTGGTGACGCCTCGGGTGAATCTGAGTCAGGAGGCACAGGCCCACTGTGCTCTGGGAGGGGGCTGTTTGAGAGCTTTGGGTGACTGAGATGGGGGTCCCTGGGGGACAGGATGTGGGAGGTTTGTCAGGAGAGGAGCGGAAGAGACCCCAGGGTTTGGAGGAGGGGCCACTTCCAAAGCCGAATAAGTTCTTACATAATTCCTCAAATCACTCAGTGGCCCTGGTTCTTGGGGACAGGAACATTTGGGGGGCTGTGCCCTTTGTGTGCCCTGGCCATCGGCACAGAGGAAGAGGGAGGCTAGATGGGAGACAACGGTGGTCCTAGGGCTGGTGACAGCGCTGGAAGGTCCCAAAACGTGACCTTGTTCCTCCGTATCTCAGAGGGACAGGATTGGCTGGGGAAGCTCCCAGGAGAGGCCCTGGTACCTGGTAGGGGACACATGGCCAGGCTCCCTGGGGAGAGCTTGTCATTGTGGGAGCTTGTGGGGTGGGGAGAGCAACAGAGAGAGGACAGACAGACTGTGAGAGAGAGACATGAGGAGAGGAAAAGAGGCAGAGAAAGAAGGGACAAGAAGAGCGGAAGGAAGGAGGGAGGGGGCAGGAGAGAGAGGGAGAGAGGAGGGACGAGGGGACTCAGTCCCCTTCTCTGAACCGAGCCGCCCGGGGGAAGGAGGGGCAGGTGGCTTACTCGGCCAGTTTTGACAAGGCCATAAACACACGGGCCACCTTGCCCCCTGTCTGTCTCCTCCGTGAGCAAGGCATGGAGGGAGGCTGGTGGGATTCAGGGCCAGATCCTCTCGAGGGGCAGGAGTGGGGGGACCACAGGCCTGGGCTGTGCTCGGCAGCTGGTGGTCTGCAGGGAGCTGCAGGCCTCTTCCTGAGCTTCAGCTCAGGCATCTGTACAATGGTTGGAGTTGACGCCATGGCTTCCACCAGCCCCCGCTGTGTGTGTGTGTGTGTGTGTGTGTGTGTGTGTGTAGGAGTCAGCATCTGGACTCTGATATCCTGGATTCCACTACTTCGTCAGGGCTCTGGGCCTCACCCAGGTGGGGGTTGGGGCAGCTGGGCCAGAGTCCCCTCCCTGGAAGGGATTCAGCCCGGGCCCCAGTTTCTGCCTCTCCCTGCTCATCCCAGCGCCTCCCTCCCCCTCCATCCCAGCTCTTTCCTCGCTCCGCCAGGCAAGCCCCGGCCGCGGAAAGAATGCGTGTGTGGGGCCAGGCGTTCATGGACGGAAGGTCATTGTTCTCTTCTCTTCCTGTTCTGGGATTCGTCCTGCTCCGGGCCACCAATGCCAAGAGTGGAGCACCTACTGTGAGCCAGCTCCGGAGCTTCAATAGGTCATCGCATCACAGCCTCTTCACTGACGCCCCCTTCACGTATGAGAAAAGTGAGGCCAACCCCTGTGTGAGCCAGAGACGGAAGGGCTGGGCCTGGGGGACCCAAGTCTCAGGGGTGCTGGGCAAGCAGGCAGAGGGGTGAGTTCAGGTCCCAGTTCCCCAACCACTTTTAATAAGTCACCTCCCCACTCGGAACCTCGGGTTTTTTGTCAACGAAATCTGTCCACTCCCCCAAACTGCTGTGAACTGTTCCACAACTAATAACAGCTAACATTTTGGGGCTTTTAAACATGACCTGGTTTAATTGGTTGTGGCACCAATTTAGGTGACCACAACGTACGATTTGCTGAATTTATTGCTTGCAGCGACCCCATGAGGCGGTCCCTCTCACCCTCATTTTCCAGGTGAGGGCCCTGGGGCCCCTAGATAGTAACGTGCCCAGGGCCTCATGGGGAGCAATGGGGGCTGGGATCAGAATGCAGGGTCCGAGCAGGACTTTATGGATCTGTGACCTTGGGCAAATCACCTAATTCCTCATCTGCAGAAGCTTTCGCCAGAAGAGTCGGAGATGGCAGAGTCCCGATTCAGTGGCCCCCAGTCACACGGGTGACCGTGGGCAAGAGACTCAGCCATGCTAGCCCCGTTTGTAAAATGGGGTGCCCCTAGGAAAAGACAGGGGACGCACATAGAGGGCCCACTGGGGCGTTAGAGGGAGGACCTCGGACCCAGCCTCTCCCTCACCAGGCCCCACCCCCTTGCCCCAGCCGGGCCCAGGGGTGTGGGAAGCAAAGGCGAGGGGCAGGTGGGATTATCCCCGGGGTCCCCCTCCTGGCATGGTGCTTTTAACCACATTCTCCCTGGGAGCAGCGCTGCCCCCTCCCAGGCCCTGGGCCAGGCCCATGTTTGCCGTGGGGATCTGGGCTGGCCTGGCTGTCTTTCATTCGGGGGCAGCTTTGCTTGCTTTCCCGCCGCCTTGAAGCTGGGCGGCTGCTCTGCGGGCTCCCTGCTCCCAGGGAGCAGATGGGCCGCAGTGGGAAGGCGGCGGCCGCCCTAAGAGGATTGGCGCCTTTCTTCCCACCCTTTGTGCCGCTCCCTGGGGCCCCTTGTGCCTAGACCACAAAGGCCACTTGTTTGGCTGCCTATGGGGGCACAGAGGTCACAGCTGACAGCGGCACCCTTGGAGACCGCGGCACCCTGTGAAAACAGGAGAGCCCAGAGCACCCAGGCTCCAGATAGCCCTGGGCAACACCCCGGGGGCTCGCTGGAAGCTCTCTCTTGGGAATTTGATACAAAGATAGGAGGGACCTCTAGGGTCGCCATCTATTAGAGGAGACAGGCTCAAGTAGGGTCTGTACCCCCTCCTGTCTGTCACCTTGCTGAGAGCCTGAGGCCCAGAGAGAGGCAGGACCCAGCTGAGGTGCACAGCAAGTCAGTGGTCTGCCTGGACTTGGTCCCGACACCCAGCCAAGCTCCCTACAGCCTTGGAAGTGTGCTCTCCCTTCCCTCAGCTTCCTCCTCGTGACTGTGGGGACCAGGAGGATCTCAGGGAAGGCAGACCGGGGGCAGCAGGACCCGGAGGGGCTTGGCGGGCTGAAGGCTGGAGACCCAGGAATAGCCCCAGAAGGATCGTCTGACGAC